ATAGATAGATAGATAGATAGATAGATAGATAGATAGATAGATAGATAGATAGATAGATATATGGATAGATAGAGAGAGAGAAAACATAGTTTTTGTGTCTAGGATCTTGGGTAAATATGAGCCATTTTCACATCGCTCGACCGCTATCTCTTTTAGATTTTAATGTTATTGTTTCATTGTATTTTGACTAAGAGTCAGAATATTGTGATTGCCTAATTTCTTTTTCTTTTGTTCTTCATTGCCTCGTTGAAATTGTATGATCACGTGTTTCACCTTGATCTCGACCAATTAACGGCTGAAGGGAAACATTATTCTCCGCAGTTGAGTCACTAACAAGTCGTTTCGGTTGAAGTGAATTGAGATTTTTCGCTCAAACCATTAATTAGTTATGACACATTACTTCCAACTCTGGAAGACAAGAGTCTTCCACGAGGGTATTTGATAGCTATGCGGGCTCGATAAAACTTAGGCCGCTTGCGTGGATGGATAGTCTGGAAGTTGAGTTTTCCACATTGCAATAAGTAGAAGCATGAATATGCTACTCTTTCTTGACATAAAACCTCAGCATTCTTACACCGCCTTTAACGGGATTTGATGCTGCCTGGTGTACTTTGCACGACAACATTAGCTCTCCACCGTCCTGCTTTGGAGGCCAATGAATCACACGGCAGATGTGCATTTTAAGAAATCATACCTTTTTGATTCACATTTTTATGGTTGGACTGTTTACAAATAAACAATCCACAAGAAATGATAATGAAGCCTTGATGACTCTAATTTCTATCCAAGATCTCATGATGGCCTTGAAATATACCTACAAATTAATTTAATTTCGGTGAAAATATGAGTTTGCCCTATCGGATCCAATCCCAATACAAAAATAATAATTTGAATGGGCCCGACCTTTCTTGAGCGAACCGTTGACATGTGGGCTGTGTGGTGAATTGGCAAAGTTGCCATTGTCTCGAATGTACATACTAGCATATATATTCATATATGACCATATTAATAAATTTATTAACAATCAAAAAATTGTAATGCGAACTAGGGGCGATATATATGGGAAATTTTTGCGTATATAAAACTACACTATTAGCATTTGGGTGTAGGTGCCATCAAGTATAGTCATCCGTCATGAAAAGGTCATCAGAGCCATAATTTGCACTATTTCCCGCTCCTTAAGCCTTAGCCGATCAGCAAACGACATATTTCTTCCGCCAACTGGCCTCTGCGATAATCGAACCAGTCAGCTCGCAGCGCCTTGACAGTGTTTCTCATTTCGGACGGTCCAGAAATGTATGAGGACAGTCCTCTTTTCATCATATTTTGGGTGGTTGCGTGAAGGCCAAATTGTCATGTCGCATGGACGTCATGATGGTAAGATTCGTGGGTCATTCTCGCAGGAAGATGACTTCTGGTTGCCGTTTTTCTCAATCTCTTTGGCCTCGTTTCGAGTGAAAATGGATTCAGCTTCCCTCGGTCAGTTCACTTGATGGTTGTCGTCAGATCTGAAATTAATTCTTGCAGAATTCTACATTTACTATCCAGTCAAGTAGTATGTGTGTAAAAACATAAATACGGTCATTAAGCCTTAAGAAGAACCCGACATGACGCAATTTGTAATACCCTCGAGTTATTTTCGATATTACCGATATTACCTACTCTCACTTGCCTAATTTGAGATGTACACAGACACCCGGGCTCACTCTTTCTCTCTCGCATTAAGAACCAAAACAAGAAATGGCCTCATCAACACAACCAGACGTGTGTCCGACCTTGCGCAATCGGACTGATGGTTATAACGTGTATGCGTAAAGTAAGAGATAGTGGTTATCATACCTTGACGGCAGAAAACTGCCCGTTTCGGGCACAAGCGAACAAAAATAGACACATGCAAATACAGTGACAGACACACTCACAGACTTCGAAGTTGACATATGACCGTAACTAGCCAAATCCAGATGTAGAGCATATATACCGCTTTTTAGGGATTTGCCGGTGAGTTTTCTTGACTCATCGGCTTGAATTGTATCGTGACTGGTGATGTTCGTCATGTGACGGACGAAAGCTTAGCCCCTTTTCACCGGAATCGAAGGAGATTGCCTCGGAAACAGCGTCAGCATGAATGTGCCAGTAAAGCCGATCGACAGATCATCAAGAGGAATCTACCGTCGTGTTCTGGTGGAAACGACCTTCGAATCTCTTCACCGCAAACTTTCACTCGAAATGGAAGTAAGCTCAACAGATATAATACTCTGATCATTGTGAAAGAATACTAGACCATCTGTAAAGCTTCGTTTTTAGTCACGACTGTAGGTGATCTGCTGAACAGAGTCGGAAAGCCTTCCTGTTTTGGTGTTAGCTCGAAGTTTTTTGCCAGAGTGTGTTCTCGCTATGAAGATGTACGTCACGTGATGACACATGGAAGGATGTGTAGCGGACGGCGCGAGCCTGAATTTCGTGTTAAAGTCACAACAGAGTTGAATAATAGCGGCAATCGGCCGTCGTCTTCCGGTTGGATCTCCCAACGAATCTCCTCATTTTACACTTTCATGCGATTGAAGGTTTTTACAGCAAAGTTATCTCAAGAGACTTATTGACGTCCAACTATTCTTCTCATTGAATTTGCACTCCATACTCAGCTTCTCGATGTTAATCGCACTGAAAGGAGGATCAAGGTACCTGTTTATTTGGTGAACCGGTAATCCAACAAAGTGGCGTAAGAAGAAGATCGGCTCGACCTGTCCACTTTGCTTACCTTGAACCTGAACTTGTGTTTTGTCGGGCGGAACGGTCACACTCCCCGGTCCGTAGGGACCAGTCTATCTCATTGGCACAACTGGATTTTGTCGTCAAAAGGACTTCTAAGAACCCTCTTTTCCCGGCGTCATGCGATGGGTCATGCGATTCGGGGAGCTTGAGCATTCCCAGACACTTTCTACTGGCATCGTCTGTGGGCACCAACTAAATCCGACTTGCCCAGATTCCGATTTTTCCTTCTCCCACTCATTCTTCCTTATCAACAGACCGGCGACCAGCTCGCAAACCCATTCTTTGTTGATTGGATTCCAGTGAAACCCTGAAAAGCCGATATCTTTCACATGTCCCTGACTGGTTGCTGGGTTGGCTGATATGTGAATATCGCATCATACATTAACAGAATCGTCGCTTCGCCAGTTGGCGTGCAGACGAACTTTACGACCAACATGAAGTGACCTCTATTCCAAATCTACCGATGCTCTCGGATGCCTCTTAAATGAATTCGAGCTCTATTTGGGAAAATTTCCCATCAGTCCTTCGTCATTTGAAGCGATCTGATCTGACGAAACGTCTTATTCAAGACCTACTGATGGTCTCTGAATTTCTCGGTCATTCAAGCCTGCATTTGTCACTGCTTGAAATTGTCCTTCTACTTTTTTTATTCGTTTTCTTCAGCCTCTACTTGCCGACTCGCGTTATTCCGTCTAGCGAGTCCCTTTTTTAGAGGTACAGTTGATGAATTGTATGATCTTGATCGTTCCCACATTGCCTGGAGTTCCATTCACATTCAGAGCCTCGAACAAGTCGACCAGGTCGACGAGGGTACAGCTCCTTCTTTTATCGCACTCTTTCCTTCAATCTCCACTTGCATAGCTGCCTTTGTGGAGCAAACCGTTAACAAATCGACTTCTCAAAGCTTTTCACCACCATGGCAACGAACATGATGCCGGCTCCACTCCAATAAATCTTCTTGTTACTTTTGGTCAAGCTGGGAATCCCACTTATAACCGAATTTTGTCGATTGCGTAGTTAATTTGTCCGCAATTATGCCATTTTTGGTGTTGCGAACGGGTAAAAGTATCAAATAACCCCAATTTAAGGACGAAGCTTGCAATGCCTCATTCATTATATTTTGACGATTTCTACGAGATGAGTCGGTCTATTCACTCGTATCCCATCCATGCAGTTCCATTTTCGCTCAGGCCTGCTTTGGGACAGTTACTTCTTATCATCGCGAACCCACAATGCAAAACACAACGTCGTTTACTTGTTCGGAGCCCAACTCTACCCATTTATTGTTCAACTTTTGTGGTGGCCTGCTCT